CTGTGAACGAAAATCAATAAAAGATTGTTCAAACTATTAAACTGCTGACACAGGCCCATTCTCCCGAATATACATCCTGACAATTGTCCCTCTCTCAGTTGGCAGCAAGTCATTCCTCTCTGGAGTGTGTTGCCCTGGAAACGGCAGCATCCGTCCCCTGTTGCTCGACCCAATTAGAGATAGGACAGTCGCTCCTGCTCTTTCTTGGGGGCCCATCCTCTCTCAACATTATTAATATAATATCCTGTACATGACGAGTGAAAATGACTGAAATATTGATAAACAAATTCAAAATTAATATTAATTAAATGTAAAAATATATTAATATTATTTGTTTCAATTATTTAGCTAAAAACATCAATGGCAGATAACTTTGCCCATTAAACATGAAAATAGGGATGAAGATTCCTAAAAATTGAATGATTTAAATACTTAGTGGTATTTAATGAGTAATCTGTATGGTTTGGTTCACATTAGGGACATTGGTTTGGGAAGCTAACTTACACTAACAGTACCCTCATGTCATGATTCGATACATATCACGATTCCATATTATTGCGATACTCCAAGACATATGATAAAAGGTTAACAAATAATATACTGTTGAAGTACACATTGATGGCTTAAGACACGAAACGAGCAGTTTGTGTGAGAAAACGAACAGTATTTATATCGTTTTTTTACCTCTTGGAACCACAGCCACGTCCAAGTGATCTAAAGGCACGGGCGCTTCGGTCTGCGTTTTCTCACACAAACCGCTCGATTTGTGTCTTAGGCCATCATCAATGTGTACTTACATTTACGAGTCATTAAATCATGTTTAATTTGGACTTCTCTGTCCATGCTCTTTTAGGTGGAATATTTGTATGTATATATATATATAATTCTATCATTATTTAATTTACACCATGTTTATCACTGTAATGCAGATGTTATACCTTTCAAAGCACTGCTCTTTTTGCTGCCTGGGAAACGTTCTGGCCTTTCTCTGTAAATCCGAGCGCTTGTTCAGCTGAACAGGTAGTTCTGAATGCCACAGCGCAGCTTTTCTGTCGCATCAGATGAGTATGAATGCAGTTAGATGGAAAGATTCACTTTGAAGGACCCCAGTGACACTGAGTTATGCTGTTCAGTCAGCGATTTTTCTCACTTGAGTGGGTCTGATTTCCTCTCCGCATGAGCTGTGACACTCCCACGTCTCAACGCAGGAAAAAAAAAAGAGGACGGTCTCTTGCATAAGCGCTGGGCTTCTCGTTTAAGCGGATTGCACTTATAAATCCTTTTACTGATTAAACATTTTGCAGTTTGAATGGGTGTTATGGTCAGATTGTGTGTAATGATTTGATCTTCTGGCTTGAGAAAAAGTCTGTTCATAATAGCTTCAAAACAGAGATCAATAGCTCAATGGTTTATTCATTTTGGGGATTTTTAATGATGACAGCAAGATGAGATCGACAGATGTTGCAGGTTGGATTTGAACCTGTGTTTCTTATGTGAGCACCAAACATGTCTGAAGTCAAATTTACCCATTAAGTGTTTTCTTCTGTACTAATAACTTCCTAAAAAGTAGTTTTAAATCATGCATTTATAATCATGTTCCCGTTGAAGATCTAAAACAAACAACCCACAAATAGAAAATTAGGCTGTTATATAATGCAAAACCCATGTGTCCAAAAAAGCATCGTCTTCATATTTATTTGTCCTTACAGAAAGGAGAAACTGTCCTGTAATGAATTTCTCATAAAGCACTGCCCCTTGTTTCTACTCCCAGCAGTCACTGCTTTGCACGGCATCACACATGCACACAACAATACCAACATCTGGGTAGGGTTGCATGATTGATGGAAATGAAACCAACATCGTAACTATTTAATGGGAAAAACACACACACACACACACACACACATATATATATGCATATTAGACCACAAATTCTTATTATATCAATATATGACTATAAATAAATTCTAAGGGATTTACCGATATGAAAAGTTTGGTTAATACCGATAATTCTTTATACCAGAAAGCCGATAACCGATATACTGGCCTAAATCCCTGGTTGGTTGATACCAATAATTCTTTACACTAGAAAGCTGATAACCGATATACTGGCCGATAACCGATATACTGGCCTAAATCCCTGGTTGGTTGATACCGATAATTCTTTATATTAGAAAGCCGATAACCGATATACTGGCCTAAATTCCTGGTTGATTGATACCGATAATTCTTTATACTAGAAAGCCGATAACCGATATACTGGCCTGGATCTAAATCCAAATCTAAACAATTTTATGTAGCCTATATTGCAGACTTAACAATAACGATAACATTAAAACTGATCATATATTGGCTGATACCAAATAGTGGCCGATATATCGTGCATCCCTAATCATTTCAATTCTAATTATTCTTCTTTTATAGCCATATTGATATATATTCAAATTTTTAACCAAATTGTACAGCCTTACAATCAATCATAGAAAACCTAAAAAAAAAAGAAGTGAATTGTGGGTAATTAAAAAAAAACTATTAAATATGTCATACACTGATATATGTTACACTAAATACACACATACACATACAATGATTAAGTGTCAGGCGCCTTATTCTGGGAATAATATAAAAATATTAGCTTTAATATACTAAATATTCCTTATTAGCTTTAATATACTATCTTTATTTTACTAGCAAAATATATTAGCTTTAATATACTGAATCAACCAATCTTTGGCCTACAATGCTGAAGATAACAGAAAAAATTAAATCTACCGTTTCCTTTAAGATTTATAAAAATAAAATCATTAAAATACACAATTTAAAGTCATACATAATAAAATAATTATTTTCCAACAGTCAATTGAAGGAAACTAACTCTTTGTCCTAAATTTAAGGCTGGACAATGCTGATGAGATATACCAGCAGTGGCCGCTAAAAAACAGCACTGAAACATTAGAAACGGCCTTTGTAAACAGGCTTTTGTTGGAGTCGGGCTGAAAACATGCTCCTCTGGGGCTCCCTCACCACTCCAAGACAGCCAGAGAACTAAATCAAAGGCACAAAACCACATTTCTTCCTTTTGAGAGGACCTATTGGTGAAACACCTGCCAAGACGCTCTCATTTGAGCGAAACCAAAAGGCACATCAAATATTGTAAGCATTTAATATTTAAGATAAGAGAAAGTGATTTCCTGTCATGTCGAGGTATATTTGATCTGCTGAGTCTGATTTTTGAAGAGAAAAACATCATAGCAGCCAGCCAAGAAAGACATGAGCAAAGCAAAAGGCCTGAATAATGCTGATATAGAAACCTTGTCTTCTAATCCTCAATGAAGATTACTTTTACTTTGGCTTTTTGGATTTAAATTGCACTTTGTACTAATGGATCCACCTTGCCTCCCGCCTTTACATGGCATTGCTATGGCAACAGAGCATGTGTGAACAGTGGAGACGAGAAAGCGTCAGACCAACGTGCAGAGCTACAGCATTCAAACTGACCGTGACTGTTTGAGACGATGCAGCACCGCTAGGATTTGATTGTCAAGTTTGTCTGGCTGTTGAATGAGGATTAACATGGGAATATCGACAAAAAGGAGTTGAAGAACCCTGGCTAGTTATATGACAATAAACTAGAGTTAGTATTGAAAAGTATAGTGCCATGACTTCACAGTTAGAAGAATATCAAAAAAAGCGGGAAAGCATAAAACACCCAATCACCATGCGTGCCCTGGGAGCCTTTGTCAGTACAGTCAAAATGATACGGATGCTCCGATCAGGATTTTTGCAGTCAATACGATTACTGATTTCTTGTCTTAATGCCGATACCGATATCAGCCATTTATGATGACAAGAAATCGGTAGATGTGTCGACTGTAAAATCCTGACTGGGGCACCATCACCTTTCATTTACTCACGAACAAGCAATCAAATATAATAGTTAAAATTACAGATTAATTAAATGTACATTTCCCATGTAAATCACAATAATCTTTTGAAGAAATTCCCTTAATTATAGGAAAAATCTCAAAAAGCAGAAAACTAGGAAATACCCAATTACCATGTGCACCCTGGGAGCCTGCGACAGTAAAGTAACAACTATGGCTCAGAATGTTCTCAAATCTATGGAAGCTTGTTTCCGCCACTTAATAAAAAAAAAGAAAAAAAGAATTGCGACTTTTTATCTCACAATTGCGAGATATGAAGTCAGAATTGTGAGAAATAAAGTCAGAATTGCGAGATATATAGTCATAATTCCAGTTATATAGTCATAATTGAGAGATATAAAGTCAGAATTGCGAGATATAAAGTCAGAATTGCGAGATATATAGTCATAATTGCGAGATATGAAGTCAGAATTGCGAGATATAAAGTCATAATTGTGAGATATATAGTCATAATAACGAGATATCTAGTCATAATTGCGAGATATAAAGTCAGAATTGTGAGATATAAAGTCAGAATTGCGAGATATATAGTCATAATTGCGAGATATGAAGTCAGAATTGCAAGATATATAGTCATAATTGTGAGATATGAAGTCAGAATTGCGAGATATAAAGTCAGAATTGCGAGATATATAGTCATAATTGCGAGATATGAAGTCAGAATTGCGAGATATATAGTCATAATTGTGAGATATGAAGTCATAATTGCGAGATATGAAGTCAGAATTGCGAGATATAAAGTCAGAATTGCGAGATATATAGTCATAATTGCGAGATATGAAGTCAGAATTGCGAGATATAAAGTCAGAATTGCGAGATATATAGTCATAATTGCGAGATATGAAGTCAGAATTGCGAGATATATAGTCATAATTGTGAGATATGAAGTCAGAATTGCGAGATATAAAGTCAGAATTGCGAGATATATAGTCATAATTGCGAGATATAAAGTCAGAATTGTGAGATATGAAGTCAGAATTGCGAGATATAAAGTCAGAATTGCGAGATATATAGTCAGAATTGCGAGATATAAAGTCAGAATTGCGAGATATATAG